CCCGCTTTGCTCGCCCCTTTATCGGCGGGTGGGCTTTACGCTACTCTGCCCCCACCCTCTGGAACTCCATCCCACAGTCCCTCCGTCTCGCCCCCTCCCTCGCCACCTCCATCTCATGACCCTCCTTTTAGACTAATCTTTCGATCTCCCTGCTTCCCCGCCCCCCCGCCGCATTCTACCCTCCCCCACCCTGACCCTCAGCTCGGGTCTGTAACTCTGTCTGTCCAGCGCCTTGGGACGTCCTCCTGACCTGAAAGGCGCTATACAAATGTTGTTGTTATCACGTCTTCGAGATGTCTCAAAGCGCTTCATAGAATATATTGTAAAGTGAATTGACTGTATGTTTTGACGGTGAAACGCTGCAGCCAATTGCCCACAACAGTGTCCCACAAACTGTCGTGGATCGGGTGACCAAATTATTATTGTTTTTTTTCTTTAGGGAATATTATTAGGTGTGTGGATTTTTTGAGAAGGAATTATTACATCCAGAAAAGCGATCCGCCAAACGACTAACAAACGGGTTCCTACTTATTACTTATCAACTTCCCTCAATTTTTCACACAATTTGTCAAATTTTCCCACGATGTTTGGCAAATATTTTTGCAATTTCCTATTGGCGATAGGGAGCGAAGAGTGTGTGAAGTATGAGACGGAGAGAAGAGGCAGCAGTCTGCTTCGCCCTTTACGGCAAAATAATCTGCAATTTGTATTTCCCAATGTAGACATCACTTTACAGAATGTTTTAACCTTGACAGTAACTATCGCTGGAAGCAAACATTAATTTTCATAACTGGCAATAATCAAACATCGACTCAGGTCAACTATGGATCAGCTAAGATTAAATAATTTGACATTTATGTCAATCAGCTGGATTTCAATGACGCCATTGCAGACTTCTTGGCTATGAAGTTTAGGAAGTAACTGATTTAACAACAACAGCAAACAACAAATTACATTTGTTAAGCATCTTTCACATCTTTGGTCATCAGTGGAAGTAATCTTTCTTTGCCCACAATCCTCGGCAACTTTTTCTCAAATGCCCTTTGAGCTTCCATGGTCACTTTATTCTATAGGAGGGTCTCAACTCTCCCCCCTGTATCTGGCAATACAGTTCCTTCGTCCCAATTGATGAACCTAGCTTATCAAAAACTATCTATATCGCTTACTCAGTTAAACCTAGATCAATTACAGGGTCTCCTCCAGTCTGGCTCACTAATTTGTAAGGGATTCGGATGGAGATAACCAAATTTATTAAGTAATATAAATAGCTTAATTTATTCCTAAAACTGAGACAATAGATACAGTAAAATCGATATTGATTCACTGGGAAGTACGCTGACCCTCTATGACAACTCCCACTATTCCAAAGTTATCTCTTTCATACCCCAATTTAGCTCATGTGACTCTTACAACCAAAAATGGAATTCAACGGTCGTTTTGCCTAATCATATTCAAAGTTTGATTAGCCGATCATATCCCCAGACTGGTTCATCCAATCACATTTCCTCACTCAGGGTACCCCATAGGCTATCGAGGTTTAATCTCAGGAATTTGGAAGTTGTTCTGGAAGCCTTTGATACAAAATGTGAAAAGTTCAGCTCAGCAGTTAGATTGTAAACATTTTCCAGATCTGTTGGAGCAGACAGGCTGGCATCAAAAGGTACAAAGGGTACATCAGTCAAGACAATGTCTTTCTAAGCGAAATAACACATGTGAATGATGAGATTGGGGTTATTTTCTTATCTGATTATAGAATACTTTTATCAACACAATTGCCGTTCTGTTTACTTGATGACACAAATCCATCAGACATGTCACAGAACCCAAAAACACAGACCTCAAAAGGAACTCTCCCTAACATTCCTAAAGATCAACAAAAATGTATATCAAATTGTTTATATAAATTGAGGAATTAAACAACAACAGGATTACACTTCCCGTCGGGAGAACGTTCCAAGGTGCTGGACAGTGTACAGCATTTCAGACCTGAGCTGGGGTCAGGGAGGGAGAGGGGAGGGGAAGAGTGGCCGATGGCATGGTCGAAGAGGAGGGTTTTGAGGCGGGACTTGAAGGAGGCTAAGAAGGGGGCGACTGGCTTGATGAGTTGTAGTTTGCAACCATGGAGGTTGGGGGCAGTATGGCTGAAGGCTCTCCCGCCAATGTGGGGCGGGTGGGGTGGGTGGGGCGGGGCACATGGAGCAGGCTGGAGCCGGCTGAGCGGAGGGAGCGGGCGGATTGCTAGGGGGTTAGGAGATCATAGAGGTAGGGTGGGGCGAGGCCATGGAGGGCTTTGTAGGTGAGGACCAGGATCTTGAACTGGTTCCTCTTTCCGGCGAGAATGGGGGAAATGGGATCAAGGAGTTTGGTGCGGGAGAGGACATGGGCTGCAGAGTTCTGGATTATCTGCAGCCTGCGAAGGGAGGAGTTGGGAAAGCTGATAAGCAGGGAGTTTGCATAGTCGAGCCTGGAGGTGATGAAGGCATGAACAAGAGTTTCAACTTTTAGCGAGGATCTTACTCTCTGCCTCCTTTGTCGACTCCAGGACCATTGCTGTCCTGATGGATTGTCTGTCAGACATCAGGTCCTGGATGAGAACTAACTTTACACAGTTGAATGTCAATAAGATCGAGGCCCTCCTGATTAGCTCCCATCAGCACCTCTACACCTCAGGCGCTGACAGCATCACCATCCATGCATGCACTCTACCTCACTGAGCACAGTCCGGAACCTTGGTGTCTTGTTTGGCCCTTAACTTAACTAACATCAAGGTGGTCAGCACGTCACAAGCTGTCATGTTAAGGTCCTGATGGCAGATACCTGCAAGATAACTGATGAGGAAACTGAGGCTTGATGCAACAGTTGCTGGAAGGAGTCACCTAGAATCCGAGTTTGTGAACATACGTTCGTACGATCAGTGCCTGGAATCCAACTTGATTCACCTGTAGAGAGGCAAGCAGCTGCTACTGAAACTCTGCACCTCCAATTGGTGGAATCATTGCTCAATGGGAAGGGATGTGTGCCTGAACTGTGGATAGAATACGATGGCAATACTCTCATGCAATTCATGGTGAGATGCATTGCCCACCGAAAAGCTCAGAGGGAATTCCTTGTACCTACCATTCACCTAGTGAGGGTATAAACCCACGTTTGTCAGATATTGAATGACCAACTACTAGTGACTATTGCCCTTGGACGGTGGGGGGAAGGGTGGAGGTAAGCGGGGTCTCCTTGCAGCTGAACTGACTCCAAGGTGACATGCCTGGCAATGGAATTTTGGAATTGAGCCATCCCTTTGTGGAGACAAGGAAGATACCATGTTTAATTGTAATAATACTTACATCTCCCATTGCATCTATCACGCTGGGAGGATGTTCCAAAGCGCTTCACAGATTATACTGTAAACTGGAGTGATTGTATTTTTACTGTAAAATTCCATAGCTTTGGGGCGTATTGGCTAAAAGCACGGTTGCTGATGGTGGGGTGGAGGGTCCGGGGTACAAGGAGGAGGCCGGAGCTAGTCGAGCAGAGGGAGACCGCCTCCTCCTCCTCGGGTAGCGATGTAGGGAGAGAGCAGGTTGGAGATAGGGGTGTGCCAGGGTGTGAAAGCATTTAAATTCAAGAGTGAGGATCTTAAAATCGATCCACTCTGTGACAGGGAGCCAGTGGAGTTTTACAAGGACTGGTGTAATGGAGGTATGGAGTTTATTGTGGGTAAGAATGCGGGAGGCGAGTTTTTAATTATTTGAATATTGTGAGTAATGGAGCAGGGGAGACCAGTGAGGGGGGGCATTTGAGTAGTTGAAATTTCATCCACAAATTTTCCAATTGCTTCCTGCTGCTGCCAAAAGAGAGCCTGTTATTAAACATCTGCAGCTTTCTAATGTTCTCAATATCAGAAGTAGAATTTGTGGAGCCCTGCAACAATTTGGGTACAGATGGTACAGATTACATTGTGACAGGCAGTTCAGTCATCAACTGTCCACCAGAAAATTAACAGAGAGATCCTTCCTATTTTGTTTCAATTAAAGGAACTTGTAGCTTCTAAATATTTACATGTGAAGCAGCAGAGAATATTCAGTTTATTTGATCTGTATTACCCTTGCAATCAAAGTTGAGTCAATTAAGACACCTGTTTATTTACAACTAGCTGTACCCGTTGCACTAGGTACTTAAATGTTGTGTGGCACCAGGTGTAATTGCAGTGCGTGCGCTACATATGTAGGTGATCTGTGACGCACAAAATACCATGGTGCCACTTTCACTCAGTGGCCACCAGGTGGTCGGAAAACGAAAACTGAAAATAACTCATGAACGATAGAAAACATCTGAAAACAAATATACGCATGTCACTCCCAGATGCAAGACCTTTCTGATGAGGTATAAATCATGTCGCTACGTCAATCGGTTATTGAGATCTTTCTTGAATCATATCATAGAATCATAGAATTTTACAGCACAGGAGGTTGCTATTTGGCCCATCATTTCTGTGCCAGGTTTTTGAAAAGAGCTATAATAATAATAATAATAATAATCCTTGCATTTGATATAGCGCTTTTCACGTCGGGAGGACGTCCCAAAGCGCTTCACAGAACACACTGTAAAGTGAATTGACTGTATATTTGTGGGCGAACGCGGCAGCCAATTGCGCACAGCAATGTCCCACAAACAGTCGTAGATTGAAAATGACCAATTTATTATTGTTTTTGTTTTTTGGAGGGATTATTATTAGGCGTGTGGAGTAAGGAAACTTGCCCAAGGTTTCGCCCTGCCTGGAATTGAACTCAGGTCTCTCGCTTGCAAAGCGAGTGCTCTAACCACTGAGCTACAGGACTCCACTATCTAATTCAATCCCACTCACCCCACGCTCTCCCCATAGCCTTGCAAACTTGTCCTCTCCAAATAATTATCTACTCTTAAAAGTTATTATCGAATCGGCTTCAACCACCCTTTCAGGCAATGTATTCCAGATCCGAACAACTTGCTGTGAGAAAGCATTTCTCCTCACCTCCCCTCCGTTTCTTTTAACAACTATTTTAAATCAGTGTCCTCGGGTTACTGCCAGCAGAAATAACCTCTCCTTGTTCACCCTATCGAATCTCCTCATAATTTTGAAAACTTCTATTAAGTCTCCTCTTAACCTTCTCTGCTCCAATGGGAATAATCCCAGCTTCTCTAGCCTCTCCCCATAACTGAAGTCCCTCATTCCTGATACCTACCTGGTAAATCTCCAGTGTTTTTTTTAACGATTCATCATAACTTCCTGGCTTTTGTATTCTATGCCCCTATTTATAAAGCCAAGTATCTCGTATGCTTTTTTAACAGCTTTATCTACCTGTCCTGCCATCTTAAAAGATTTAGTTATATGAACCCGCAAGTCTCTCTGTTCCTTTTTCTCCTTTAAGACTGTACCATCAGCTTATATCGCCTCTCTTCAGTCTTCCTCCCAAAATGCATCACTTTGTATTTCTTCACATTAAACTTCATCTGCCACGTGTCTGCCCATGGTACCAGTCTGTCGATGTCCATTTGCAGTCTGTTACTATCCTCCTCACTGTTTACTACTTTTCCTAGCTTAGTATCATCTGAAAACTTGGAAATTGTACTCTCTGTACCCAAGTCCAGGTCATTTATAGAGATCAAAAACAGCAGTGGTCCCAATACTGACCCCTGGGGGACACCACTGCACACTTCCCTCCAGTCAGAAAAACAACTGTTCACCACTCTTCTTTCCGTCTCCCAGCCAGTTCTGTATCCACTGCCACTGTTCCTTTGATACTATGGGCTTCTATTTTGCTTACAAGTCTCTTATGTGGCACTTTATCAAATGCATATAAAATCCATTTGAAAATCCATATAAACTATATCAACTGCACTACCTTCATCCACCATCTCCGTTACTTCATCAAAAAAACTCTTATCAAGTTTGTTAGACATGATTTACCTTCAACAAATCTGTGTTGGTTATCCTTTCTTAACCCATATTTTTCTAAATGAAGCTTGTTTTGTCCCGGATTATAGTCGAGAACTTTCCCAACTACTGAAGTTAGGCTGACTGACCTGTAGTTCCCGGATTTATCCTTCTGCTCCTTTTTGTACAGGGGAGTAACAGTTGCAACTCTCCAGTCCTCTGGCACCACCGCGGTCTCCAAGGAGGTTTGAAAGATTGTGGGCAGAGCCTCCGTTATTTCCACCCTTATTTTCTTCAGTAAACTAGGATGCATCCCTTCCGGATTACTTATCTACCGACAAGCTTTTTAGTACCGCCTCTCGGTTTATTATCTTATCCAATTTCTCTACCCTCTCCTCTGATACTGTGGCATTGGCTGCATCCTCTTCTTTTGTGAAGACAGATGCAAAGTACTCATTCAGTACATCAGCCATGCCCTCTGCCTCCACAAGAAGATTTCCTCTTTGGTCCCTAATTGGACCCACCCTACCTTTGACTAACCTTTGATTCTTTATATGCTTATAAAATACCTTAGGGTTCCCTTTTATGTTACCTGCCTATGAAGCACAGATGGACATTGTCGTTTTATTAATATAGATAAAATAATGGATAGATAGAAGATACAAGCCTTCGATTTTTAAAAACCTCTGAATATATTGTTTCTAATTTGATTTCTTCTTGAATTTTTTTTAATTGATGCATCAGTGAGGCAGTGTGATCTATATAATATGATTTTGAGATAGATTTTACATATGGCTGCAAAATACCAGCAGAGTGCAGCACCTCCTCCCGCCCACTGCCATTTCCATTGGACGGGAAGGGCACCAATTAGCGGTCGCATTAGGTGATTGAGTCTGCGGTGACTTGTGTATGGACGGACGCGCCGTCTGCTCAGCTGTCCATCAATCGCGATTTCCCTCCCTTGTTCTCTGTTCCTCTGCCCCCCTCACTGAGTCCGCTTGTGAATGGCTGGAGTCCGCTGTCAATCAATCTTAGACTCCTCCTATCTATATCCAAGAGCCCCTTGTGGCTGAATGGACACACAGAAGATACGAGTGAGTACATTCAGTGGTGACCAGCACGGTGTTTTGCCCGAGCTAACTGGATTTTTGTCCAAATCAACCACCATATTTAAAACAGATAAGAGTTCAAATGATTTGGGGCTGGGCATTTTGTTCGATTAACCTGACATTCAGGGTTAACCGGTGTCCGGCAAACGAAGATTTAGTTACATTCGATTTACTGATGTGACCTAAAACTAAAGTGCTAACTTTTTATTTTACAGTATTGGGAAGAGAGGAAGCTCCACTCTCAATGTCCTGGGGATAGGAAGTGGATCAGGTATGTAAGAGATTCGGATGGAGACGATTAATACGGTTGAGTAAAAATCCAAGGTAATACAAATAGCTTAATTTATTCTTAAAACTGAGACCATAGATACATTAGAAACAATATCTTTTCTACTGGGAAGTGCACTGATCATCGACACAACTCAAACTATTTCAAAGATACATCTGTTTATGTGTTTTTACTCCACCTCCCCTTGTCACAGAGATAGCCCCACCCTTCACAGGCTCTTTTCTCATGGGAAAATAACTGATAAGGAGAAAGAGATATGCACATCTAATTGGGAGGATTCCTTTCCTGTTTCTAATCAGATTTCCAGGAGTGCACTTCTCTCTCCTTGAGTCTCCTTGTTTTCACATCTGTACTCAAGGACATAATTACTCAATTCTTAGATTGAAGGGGATGCCAATGGACCCAGGCACCGAGCAAGGGAAAGTTATCAGAACCTGACCTCAGCTGGTGTCAAGCCAATATATCCTTACCTTTGCAACACTAATCGGCACAATACCCTCTCAGGGCCAGTTAGTCATTTAAAAACACACACCATTGTCTATACCCTGAGGAATGCTATACTAAACAGATTTGGTTTTATTTTAAAATTAGACTAACCAAAAATCTTAAAAACAATAAGCATCACAAATATAATCTTACAATTCCCATCTTGAGAGTGAGAAAATAATATCTCATTTATCTATGATTTATTAAGTTAGCTAACTGTAAATGGTCCGATTGCAACCGGGTAGACCTTAATAGGGAGCGCAAATAACATATAGACACAATCATTGTAAATACAATTATGGCTTGGGCAATCACAAAAACATAAGACATGAGCAATAAAGTTCAGTGCAATGAATTAATCAGGTTGATACAGTGGCTGTGATAAGGAATCGACTTGTTAACTTGGTACGATTCATGTTGATAATAGAATATCTCTTCTCAAGATCAGTTAGACTTGTCTTCTTTTCCAAACTTAGACCTTTTTAGTCTCGCACACTGAGTCTGTTTGAGACATTCAAAAGCTTGTTTTTACCATTCATTGTAGGGTTAAAACATATCCTTCAAGGTCAGTACACTCCTTTTGTTCTTGGCATTTAAATGTACTGATGTTACCAATGTCTTTGTGATACGTAGAATCAATTCTATTTCAGCAAAACAAGCCCACAAGTCTGAGATTGTCTTTGGTCAACTTAAGATGAACCAGAATTCTGGCATTGCTAACAGTCCAGTCCTCACCTCGAGTGGAACAAGCTGACAGCACTGGCCCACTATCACCGTCGGAATCTTCACGATTCCCTTTTACCACAGCTACCACATCAATCCTTTTAACTAATTTTAGCAATTACAGGACATCATTATGAATAATATCATGATCAACATAAACAGTATGGCAATAGAATTTTTTAATATTATTCCAGTGGGTGTTCCCTCTATCCTTGCCCGCAGACTTTAAGCATAACTGAAATACTAGAACAGACAAAATAAATCTTACATAGAATAAATCAGAATACTGACATTCTTAATACTATCATTTCTCCTTGCACGTCATTGTGTTTATTCTACCATCGACCCCATCACCTCGCGCTCTACCACACCCGATGCATACAAAACCCACACGGTTGCCAACGTAAACCCTGTCCTGTGTGCAGGTATTGGCCACTGTTGTGAAGTAGACAATTGACTGGGTTGTACTTGTCCGCTCGACTCACCCTAGACGGTCGAGCTGAAATTCAATGCGAAGACCGGCTTTGTGGGTGGGAGGGTAAGCGAAAAGTATAAGTCGTCCCAGAAGAAGTCGCTGCATGGAAGGCAATCTCCATTGGGTATAATAAGCCATTCTTGTCAGTATCTGTAGGAACTAAATCACAAAGTAAAATCTCCCGTTTCTTTAAACACTTTAGTTGGTTAATATGATTGCAGTAAAGTTGGTGACCATCACGTGAAGTGGGAATAGAAATTTGATCTATTTGTGCTACTGCTTCAAAATGCTTGCACTACTAGTTTTACCAGGATTCAATTGTAGCTTGGAAATGATTATTAGCTGCAGAAACAGATTCACTTAATGTGGAAACCAAAAAGCTCATAATCTTACACGTACGTTGTGCAATTTCTTCAATGTCTAATGCTCAGATATGAAAGAACATAAATGAGTGTTTTCAATAAATACACATTTACCGTTAGAATGTAAGAAATAGGATTGCACATTGGACTTTTATGAATTCTAGGAATAGGACTGAGTGGAGAACAACAGAATAGATGCGTAGAGTGTTGGCTAGGAGGTGGATTGGGAGAGTTATTCTGGAAGGAGACTTGATCGATCAAGTTTTCCCCCTGAATACATTGATGCCATTTGCTCCAATCACAGCTTCCACATTTCATTCACCTAGTGAGTTCCACATTCTCACCATAAAGAAGCTTTCCCCAAATCCCTAGCCGATACACTGCTAGCTATCTTATATTGATGTCTTCTTGTTTTGTACTCATCTAACGAGTAGAAATAACCTAATTCCAGTTTATGGAATCCTTTCATAATCATAAACATCTTTATCAGTCCCCCATTTAATCGTCTCTACTCGGAAGAGAAAGTTGGAACCTTTCCAATCTTTCCTGATAGCTGTATCCACTCAATGCAATTGTGTTTAGATCTATGTTCCTGAAAGAAACCAACAAATCATGGCAGAAAATATTAATAACTATTAAAAGTTGTTTTTCTATGTAGGTAAAATTGACCTTCAAATGCTTTACAACATTCAATCAAAACATCCAGGGCTTTCGATTCACAATGAAGTGGTGGAGCCTAGCCCTGACCAAATGTCCAGTTACAAAGGTAAGTCTAATAAATTACAGTGCAATATAATTTAAACTGATATACAACAGGAGGACCTCTCAAAGAGATTTGAGCCAACTGAGCACTTGAGCTGAGGGGTGGCGGGGGAAATTACTTCCCATTTTTATAGTACCTTATAACATCTCGATGCACTTCACAAGAAATTGCTGAATAGTGTCAGTTTCGCAAGCAAATGTACAAGCAAAGTTTGCGCCAGCAAAGTCCTACATTCAGTTATGAGATTATTGACTTCAGCAACAACAACTTGAATTTATATAGCGCCCTTCATATGGGGTAGAGAGAGAGGGGACAGGTGATCGTCAGCACGATCAAAAAGGAGGGTCTTCAGGCAGGATTTGAAAGTGGGGAGGGAGGGGGCAAGGCAAAGTGGATTGAGAGAGAGAGTTCCAGAGTTTTGGGGCATAGTGGCTGAAGGTATGGCCATCGATGGTGGAGTGGAGGGTATGAGGGACGAACAACAACAGCAGGATTACGTTTGTATAACGCCTTTCATGTCGGGAAGACGTCCCAAGGATGCCCAGAGCCAGCCGAGCAGACACAGCAGGTGGGGGAGTTGGGGTTAAGCAACTTGGATAGGTAGTGAGGTGCGAGAGCATGAAGGGATTTGAAAACGAGTGAGAGGATCTTGAAATCAATCCGTTCAATAATTGGGAGCTAGTGGAGCTTGGCAAGGACTGGTGTGATGGGGGTACCGTGTATTGTGCCGGTGAGAATCTGGGCGGCGGATTTCTGAATTTGTTGAATTTTGTGTATGGTGGAGATGGAGAGATCAGTGAGGAGGGCTTTGAAATAGTCCAGCTGGGAAGAGACGAAGGTGTAGATAAGGGTTTCGGCTGCTTTTGTTGTCGACGTGAAAGACGCTATACAAATGTAATTTTGTTGTTGTGAGATACGGACAGAAATGGGCAATGTGATTGAAGTGGAACAAAGAGGTCCTGATTAGGGAACGGATGTGGGGTAGAATGGAAAGCTGGGGATCGAATCTGATGCGTAAGTTGTGCATGGGTTTGGTGAGAATGAGGAAAAGCCTGGGTAGGTTGACCCGCAAGAAACGAGACGTTGATGAGAGCCAATGGGCATGGCTTCCATCCTGCCGAAATTCAGCTGTAGGAAATTCGCGCTCATCCAGGTCTTGATGTCCGTCAAACAAGCCAGGATATCAGTGGACTGAGAGTCGCAATTAGAGGAGGAGAAGCAGATTTGTGTGGCATTCGCATACATGTAGAAGCTGACCCCATGTCTGCGGATGACATTGCCGAGAGGGAGCATTTAGATAAGGAAAAGAAGGGGACCAAGGATGGAGCCTTAGCGTACACTGCAGGTGGAGGGCGGGAGAAAGAAACATTTGCCGAGATGTATGGTTGGCAGTTAGTTAAGTAGTGCTCCAAAACTTGGGCCAAGAAGGGCAGGTTTGAGATGGGTCTGAAGTTGGAGTGATCAAGGGTAAGTTTTTTAAGGAGAGAAGTGATGACAACAGTTTAAGGGGGAGTGGGACAGAGCCTAAATCAAGGGACTGGTTGATTGTGTCAGACAGCAGTGGGCAGAGGAGGGGAAGTTGAGTGACCACAAGCTGGGTGGGAAAGGGATGAGGCAGCAGATGGTGGGCTTCATCGGGTGATAATAATAATCCTTGCATTTGATATAGCGCTTTTCACGTCGGGAGGACGTCCCAAAGCGCTTCACAGAACACACAGTGTAAAGTGAATTGACTGTATATTTGTGGGCGAACGTGGCAGCCAATTGCGCACAGCAATGTCCCACAAACAGTCGTAGATTAAAAATGACCAATTTATTATTGTTTTGTTTTGGAGGGATTATTATTAAGCGTGTGGAGTAAGGAAACTTGCCCAAGGTTTCGCCCTGCCTGGAATTGAACTCAGGTCTCTCACTTGCAAAGCGAGTGCTCTAACCACTGAGCTACAGGACTCCACGATGATGATGGGGTAAAGGGAGGAGGGAGAGATGGGGGCAAAAGAGTGTAGGGTGTACGCTGTGTTAGAAGGAGAGGGTGGTGGTAGGCAACACGGGAAGGGAGGAGCAGGCAGCCAGGCGAATGTTGTCTATCTTGGAGATCAAGAAGTCCAGGACCTCTTCACACAGCATCTGAATTGAGGATCGAGGGTGCTTGAAGGGGACATGGAGAAGGTGATGGGTTGTGGAGACCAGGATATGGGGTTATTTTTGGCCTAGAGAATGATCTGGGAATGAAACCTTATAACATCTCAATGCACTTCACTGGCTTGAGAGAGGGAGTGGCAGTAGGTATGAAGATGCTTGAGCCACCGCTGGTGGTGAACCGTGATGCTGATTTTGTGCCATCTGCTCTCAAGCAGCTGGGTTTGGGATTTGAAGCAGCGAAGATGACTATTGTACTAGGGGGAGCAGGTAGGTTTGGAGATGATCCTGGATTTTGGGGGACAAGGGAATTAAAAGTGAAGGTTCAGCGGCTTAACTGCTGCATCAGGATCCCTGCTGTGGAAGGCCAGAGGAAGTGAAGGTCTGAGGATGAGAAGTGAAGGACTCTGGTGGAAACGATTTCCATGAGCTGAAAAAGATGGTGGAGGGCTTGGAGAGGGGGGAGAGATATGGGAGGAGAAGGACATGAAGAATTGGTCAGAGATAGCCATGTCCGTGATGGACAGACCAGAGATGTCTATGCCATGGATGATCACGAGTTCAACCCGGTGACAACGTTAGTGTATCATGGAATTAATATGGAGGGAAAGGTTTAGGATGGAGATGAGGGCAGTGATGTCAGAGGAGATGGGGCAGGAGGAATTGAGGTGAAGATTGAAGTCTCCCATGATGAACAGGTGTTCAGTGCAGAGGGAAAGTGATGAGAGGATACAGGACTTATCCTTGAGGAAGGAGCCAGGAGATTTGGGAGGGTAGTAGACTAGGAGAATTTTGAGGATGAGAGAGGAGGGATGATATAGGAAGAGGTGCTCAAATGAGAGGAAACATCCAGAGATTTAGGGGATAATAATAATAATAATCCTTGCATTTGATATAGCACTTTATCACGTCTTCGAGACGTCTCAAAACGCTTCACAGAATATACTATGAAGTGAATTGACTGTTTTGCGGGTGAAACACGGCAACCAATTGCACTCAGCAGTGTCCCACAAACAGTGGATTGAGTGACCAATTTATTATTATTTTATTTTCCCTAGAAAAGCGATCCGCCAATTGACTAACAACTGGGTTCCTACTTACTGCTAGGTAAACAGAGATGTGAGGAGTAAGGAAACTTGGCCAACGTTTTGCCCTGCCGGGAATTGATCCCAGGTCTCTTGATTGCGAGGCGAGCGCTCTAACCACTGAGCTGCAGGACTCCCTTGGATAGACCAAGGGAGGTTTGGGAGATGAGGGCCACCCCACCACTGCGATGGTTGGGGTGCAGGGTGGGTGGGAGGTGGAAAGTACAGCCAGAGGGGGAGGCTTTGATGAGGGGATGGGTTCATCGGGGGACATCGAGGTTGGCTTTGCTTGAGAGGGAGTGAACGTTTTGGAAGTTGATGCGGGTAGAGCCTTGATTATAGAGGGTGGAGGTGCTGGGGTTGGGGAAGGGGTTTGGGGGGTTTTACAGATTGTGGGGGGAAAATGACCACGGGGTTTGCTGGGGAAGGAGAGTTGAGAAGTGTGCGGATGTGAGTGAGGGAAGGGGGGTTTACCTTCTGGAGGCAGTGGAGGGTCTTTTGGAGAGAATGGGCAATGGGGCAGTCATTCCCAGCTTGCTCTGTTGCTCGTGACTAATTAATTTTTAATTTTAAAATTTGTTGGCCAGTACATCAGGAGAAATTCCCTTGTGTTTACAAATGTTGTCATGGGATATTTAACGTCTATCTAAGAACGAGACAAAGAAAGTCTTAATAAATTATTTGAAAGGTAACTAAGAAATAATCATCAGTGACAATTGTCACATTGTATTTTGTTTCACTGTCATTTCAGCATTAGTGACTGAAAAGAGCCAGGAACTCAAGGACATCTCTTTCACTTGGAATCAGATGACTTCAGAAGAATATGAGAAGCAAGTGAAACAAAGAAATGAGTGTAAAAAGTTTGATTTCATTCACATGATCCAGGTAATAAATAGGTAAAAACTCTAACTTGGAAGAGATTTGTTTAACAAAAAATGATGCCAATACGTGATGCACATACAAGTCAGTGAATTCCTGATAATAAGATCTTGGTTTATATCATAACATCACTACGCTGTCCTGTTGTGTACCAATTAGCATGCTGGCCTCACAAAAGAGAGGCCCCAAGTTCGAATCCTGGGCAGAGCAAAACCATAGGCAAGTTTTCTTACTCTTTAGGTTTAGGATTTGTATAGCACCTTTCATGTCGGAAGGATGTCTCAAGACTCTGGACAGTCAGTGTTTCGGACCCGAGCTGGTACACATACCTCCTATGTTTACCTAGCAGTAAGTAGGATCCTGGTTGTTATTCGATTGGTAGATAGCTTTCCAGGGTAATAATCCCTTAAAAAAATTGCTCACTCAATCCATGAATGTTGTGGGACACTGCTGTGTGCAATTGTCTGCCGCGTTTCGCCCACAAAATACAGTCAATTCACTTTACAATAGATTTTGTGAAGCGCTTTGTTATGTTTTAACAACATGACAAGGTGCTATTTTAACTACAATGATTATTATTGTTATCATGATACTGTCAATACCTCATGCAAAATGGGAATAAAGAACCCCCGTCACCCTTTAATTTCTCGCTTATAACATATAAAGTTGCTTTGTACATCGCTGCTCCTCCCCTCTTTCAGTCGCTCTCCATGCAGCCTCGTAGTGCAGAGTGACAGGATGAGAGGTGCAGACAGGAGGTAAAAGTGTCATCAAACCTAGGGCCCTCTCAGACCTTGGGGTGGGGGGGTGAACCTCAGACCTCGTGGCCCTAAACCATGGAGTACCTGGTTTGTTGGTTACCTGACTGTCCATGCTGGCCTTCACGGTGGCCAGGGATATCGACTTTCACTCAGATTGTTTGAATTCTGCGAGCAGAAAATAGCTCATTTGTAATCGTTCGCTGGGATCCAAACAATTTCAATGCTGGTACCGGGTTGGGGAGGCCGAGGGAGGCTGAACTAGCTCCAAGGTGACATGCTTGGCAACTAATTGCTGTAATCAAACCAGCCTTCTGTGGTGGTCTCATTCATCCGGTTTCTGAGCCAGACGGGTCCACGGTATTCTAGGGCACTGCTGATGACAGCACAGCCAGCCTGCCTCATCAGCAGGACCTGGAATGGCAGACCAGTCACTGGGGACACAGAGTCATCCCACTCAGCTCCCGTTAACCCTGCAAGCCAAAGTCCTAAATGTAGTGTGGTCCTAGCTAGATAAGCAGTGGGAAATCAGCAATATCTATGGCAAGCTATGTTGTTTTACCTGGTTAGACTCCAGCAGCACCGCATTGCACACACTGGGGTCTCCAAACCTTGGTTCTTGCCAATCTGGGCCTAGTACTCTCCCGAATTAGGTAAACAGGATGTGTCCCACCAGGGAGAGAGAGTGTATTTCATTCCAACAATCTATTTCTGGAATTTTCACATGTAGGCGGGATGCATGGAATTCTCTATTTGGATTGGATACTCTTAAGCACGGTGATGGGTTTCTGCATGTGTCAGATACCTGGCTGCCCCACAAAAATTGTACTTACTGTTAGTATAGAAAAGAGTTGACAAAAGTAAGACTTATTTATACGCAGCTGTCTGTGGGTAGAGAGCCTGACCAGCGACCACTAGAATGCAAGGTTATGAAAACATACTGATTAGGACGAAAAGGAAGGGCGAGCAAAGGAACAAGATGAGGAGGAAAAGTAGTCTCAGCAGGGCACATAGGTTAGTGCAAAAGTACCATCACGAGCAGGTCATGGATACACCAATTAGCTGGGTATGAATACAACAGACACACAAAGAAAGGTTGAGCTCCACAGAGTAAGAACTACAGGTCGCTGAGCCGAGTGCTGGTCATCAGGCAAGATTGCTTATCTGGTAGTATATTTCTGTTTCATTGTTGAAAAAACTGTCTTAATTGTACAACTCTGTGTTCAGACCTTTATTGGTTAATAGCAAGGATCCAATCACTGTAAAAAGAACCCAACACTTCCACTTAAACTAGAATTTCCAGCTCACCAGACTGGACCTCCCCCCATTAGTCCAGCTACTCCATAAAATAGCACTTGAGCTAACAAAAGCAAAAACAAACTAAATAACTATTTACTTCCCACAGCACCATGTTGCACCATACTTATCTCACTTCTGAGTTTGAGCAATACTTCTGAGTATGAGCAATAAATTAAACGATTCCTACTCTTTAGGGTTTTAAACTAAGAAAACAATGTTGGGAAAACAATTAAGAAAAATCAGGTCACAATATTTCTGCTGCTCTGAACAAGCTCTTAGCCCAGTGATACAAAGTGTAGCAAAAGTTTGAACAACACTTAATAAATGTTTCAATTAAATATTGATTGTCTAATTGGTACAAACTGACTAAAGGTGAGAACAGTGACTGAAGCTAGGAGTTATAGTTAGGAGTACGCTCATGTGTTTTTCTTTATCTAGATGCTGTACTATGTAGCAAATGTGGCTGCTACAATCAAATTCTTCAGAAGCCTCCTGGACACCAATGGCAAACTCTTAATTATAATGAATTCAAGTAGGTGAAACTTTAGTGTCTCTGATGTTATTAATGTCTAAGGATATTATAGAAATTCAACGAAATTCAAATTGATTAGTTTCCTCATTCGTTCTGTGTTTCTGTCTAACCCAGTGTGAGCCAGCTCGACCATCATATATAGTACAGCTTCAAGTTTCTTCATTGCTGAATCAGTTTTAATGTGGTTGAGATGTGAACCCCATTTGCATGCTCAGAGGCAGCCCATTTGCCTGCATATGCAGTGAAACTGGCTATTGCAGTCTTGTTATGGCACGAGCAGTGAGCACTGGGAGCAGACGTGAGCAACGAGTGCTGGGGCCACGGGTGAACAAGCGGGCAGTGATCGGTGCGAGGGTTGAAGGCTCGGTCGAAAAAAGCGGGGCTAGGTGGGGCGCGGGCGGAGCAGGGCCATTTGCGGGTCCATGCATGGAGACGGAATTTCAAATCTCCCGCTTGAACCATGGGATGCAAGTGACCACCAAGATCATGCGGGAGTGAGAGACCACCGAGGCCACGGGTGGATGAACAAATTGGAAGAATGAGAGGTGGTTAGTGATTCGGGGGCGGACACGCCATTTCTAAATACCCCGCTTGAACAATGGCCGAATCTCTTCTGGTACCTTGTTATCCCTCCTTTCCCTTCCTGTCCATTATCGCTTTCCCTCCCTGTCTCTGGTACCTAAGCTATGATCCACCTCCCTTTTCTCCCCCCACCACCCCTGTGCTTTCTCCCATAGCCCGGGGGCTGATGTTGCGCTTTGGGTGCTGCCCTGAGCCACTCCCTCTGAAAATGTTCATACTCCACTACCCCCACTCTGTCTTTCTCTCCCACTACCCTCCTCGCCTTCTCTCTCTCCTGGAACCCACTATTACCTCCCTGCTCTCCAGCCTGAGCATCTTCCGCCAGGCCCCTCATGACTCCCAACATTAGTTGTCTCAGAGTAGTCACCCCAACTGTCCCATCGCTCACTCTCTCCGCACCAACCGCCTCCGAAAGGCAAACACCCCTTCCCCCTCCCTCATCCATACCCTCTCCAACTTTCCCCCCCTCCTCTGCGGTCATTTCTCCCCCACGATTCTAAATCCTTCCTACATCACTCCCTCCTCCATTCCCCCCACCAGCGAACCTGTTCGCATTTCCTTCCAAAACGTCCACTCCCTCTCCAATAAAGCCCTTACTATCCATGACCTCATCCTGGATGAGCACATTGATATTCTTGGGTTTATGGAAACCTGGGTCTTTTCTGGTGACACCATCTCCCTTGTTGAAGCCTCCCCACCTGGCTACATTTTTCATCACACCCCCCCCCCCCCGCCCCAACCAACATGGCGGTGGGGTGGCCCTCATCTCCCAAGCTTCCCTTAGTCTATCCCCCTATTCCTCTGGCTGCTTCTCCTCCTATGAGTAGCTCATCCTCTACCATCCCTTCTCTCTCTCCCTCAAAATTATCCTAGTTTACCATCCCCTAATCCTCCTGGCTCTTCCTCACTGATATCTCCTCTGTCCTCTCATCCCTGTCCCTCTGCCCTGAACACCTGCTCATAATGGGTGATTTCAACCTCCACCTTAACTCCCCTTGCCCCACCTCCTCGGATCTCATTGTCCTCCTTACCCCCTAAGCCTCACCCTCCACTTCAACTCGTTAACCCACAACCCTGACTGCCCCCTTGACTACTTCATCACACATGGCCTTGACATTTCTGACATGAACAAGGCCATCTCAGACCACTTCTTCATCTCCCTCTCCTCTCACATTCCCCTCCCATTTTCCAAGCCCTCCACCATCCTTTTCTGCCCCTGGAAAAAGTTTCCCCTTGAGTCCCTCACAAATGCCCTCTCTTCCTCGGACCTCCTTTCCGTCTGGCCTTCCTCCCGCAGTGATCCTGATGCAGCCATCAAGCTTTTGAATGACTGTCTCTCCATAATCTTTGATTACCTGGCTTCCCTGAGTCCACCTGCTGTTTCAAAATCCACCTGCTCCCCCTGGTACAACAGTCATCTTCGCTCACTCAAAATCATCCTTGTTTACTGTCCCCCCAAGCCTTCTCCCACCTTCGTCTTGGACATCTCCACCGTCCTATCTTCTCTCTCCCTCTGCTCTGAACTCCTCCTAATTTCGGACTACCACTTTGTCTCCCTCAACACTTCCGTACCCCTTCCCTCTTCTCAACCCTCTACCATCGCATACTGTCTGTGGAAAAAAGTTTCCTACCTCTCCACTGCTCTGGAATCATCTGAACTCCTATCCCTCTGGCTCTCACTGACCGATCTCCCCTCCTTGCTCTCTTTTCTCCACAACTCCCTCTCCTCCATTCTAGACTCCTTTGCCCCCCTCACCTCCGGAACTGGCTTCATACGCCAGTAAATCTCCATCTGTTCCTTCATGGCTATCTCCGTTCCCTCAAGGCACAAGTGCAAGCTGCCACTGGACCAAATCCAAACTAACGGTCCATCGACAGCTCTTGCCTCCGCCAAATCCTCCTTCTACTCTAAGGTTATCTTGGAGGCAAAGGACAACCCCAGGCTTCTCTTTTCCACCACAAATTGTCTCCTCCGTCCGCCTTCCCATGCCTCACCGATTCCCCCCCATACTCCTTTGACCCCATCTCTTCCTCCTCCCTCACTATGACTGTCCGCAAACTCAAACCCACCACCTGCTCCCTCGATCCCAACCCCAACTCTCTCCTCATCTCCTATCTCCACCTTCTGGTCCCTTTCCTGTCCGATGTCATCCTTGTCGACCGGTTCAGTTCCCACCCCCCTAAAAACCCAATGAACCTGTGCAAAAGAAATTTCCTTGTAATCTTCCCCCTTTGCTGCTTGCTAGCTCGCTTATTCACCTATCCTATCTGTCTATTCACCAGACAGTCTCCTTTACTTTTTATGGAGCTAGGTGTACCCGTTGCAGCTACGTTTGCAACCAAAGCATCCAATGCGGAATGTAGATTGACACAAGGACAGACATTTCATCTTTATTAACACTCAACTGGGAGGACTCCTGTGGGAGGACTCAGTGGGACTTGGAGCTTTAAAAATGTAATTTTGTTGTTGTTGCCGCGACTTAGCTTCATCTGTGTTCTTTATTTTGTTCCCACCACTTGGCTACGTGCATGCTGTGGGACGCAGGATGCCACAGCGCCATGGTCAGCCGGCCTGGCCACCACATGTAACCGCAGTGCGCGCGTACATACGTACTTGCTCTATGGTGCACAAGCGCCACTTTAACTCGGTGGCCACCAGGTGTAACTGGAGCAACAAAAAAAACTGAAAATAACATTAGGAGATACCTGAAAACAAATAAGCCCATGTCACTCACAGATGCAGGACATTTCCGGTGAAGTTTAAATCCTGTCTACGTCAATCGGTAATTGAGATCCTTCTTGAAGCACAGACAGACATTGTCGTTTTATTAGTATATATATATTTTATTAGTATATATATGAAGATATAATACAATGAGAACAGTCATTTTCACTTAAGTAATAATGATACTGCTTTTAGCAACTGCAGGTTGACCCCCTGGCTCGGGGTCAGCTCTGAGTATTTGTACTAGTTTGTGCACTGTGCTCCTTTTTAATATTCCTCTTAGGTCTCATTACTCTGAAATAATGTAATAATATATATGCCTCAACCAAAGCTATATGAAGATACAAGCCCTTCATTCCTCCTTGAGTTTCTCTTTGCAGATTTGTAGCAATAATGCATTCAACCTCTTGTCCCCTGAAATGAACTCTTCAGATGTAACACAAAATCCCATTAAAAACACTGAAGACTGTGTTCCATAGCATGTGCTTGGTATTTTTATTATTATTATTATTTGTGTGTGCCTATAATGACTGTCTTATGTAGTCCATTTGTAGAAGGCGGGCAGGGTGCAGGCAGTAAGATAGTTCAAGTATTGCTTCTCGGTTCAAATATTTTTTTTAAATTAAACTATTCCCTAAAAAGAATAAATACTATTTAATACTCAAGTGATAAAGAGTCTTGACGCTTACAGCTATGAATTGGAACTTCAGTTGATATTTGAAACTTGCTTGTTGAAGAATGAATTTGGATTTCTTTTGAACTTTGCCGCAGTGATGCAGTTCCATCCCACAGTTTGTGTTGATTCATTTCAGTTTGAGTCAAATTGTAAAAAATTATAATAAGAGTATGCTTTGATTTGATTTAGAAATGACTACCAAAACAGCTAGGAGTCCACATCTGTTTAAGGAAAGGGAAATGTCACAAGCTTATCAGGACAATCCACTCAACAGCCTAGCAAACAAAGACATCAGATAGAGATAAAGCAGAAAGCATGCATTCCCATCAAGGTTATAAAAGTAACAAAGTACAATCATTAACAAAATTTCACTTAAAGATATAATACTGCAAATATCTAGTAATTTCCATTACAGGCAAAATACAATACAATACAAAATTACATTTGTGTAGCATCTTTCACGTTGGGAAGACATCCCAAGGCGCTGGACAGTCAGGAATTTGGACCCAAGCAGGTGTGGGGTTGGGATCAGCGAGGGTACGAGGGTGGACGAAGGTGCGGTCGAAGAGGAGGGTCTTGAGATATGTCTTGAAGGAATGCAAGGGGGGGGTAGTGAGGCAAAGCCTTGGCCAATGGTGGGGCGGACCTAGCGGGGGACATGGAGAAGGCCACAGCCTGCTGAGTGGAGGGAGTGGACAGGTTGATATAGAGTTAGCAGGTCTCAGAGGTAAGAAGTTGCAAGGCTGTGGAGGGCCTTGCAGGTAAGGTCGAGGATTTTGAACTTTACCCTCTGAGGGATAGGGAGCCAGTAGAGCTGGGCAAGTGTGCGGGTGATGGGGTCATGGAGCCTGGTGCGGTAGAGGACACAATACATATTAATACAACAGTATACTAGACAACTAAACCCAATTCCATCAATCTACAGCAATAAAGTAATTACAATTATATGCTTCATACTGGCAACATTTATCAATTGTATATATGCATCATTCTTATATGGAGGGACCGATTTGCTCATAATGCTTCAAACTGAAAGCCTTGTGGGTTTACAAGTCTAATCCAAAATAATATTTTTGATTTCTAAGATCTAACATAATAATCCCATTGTTTCTTTCTAGCTTGTATTTTGAATTGAAACCCAGTTTCAGCATTTAATGTCAAAAGGATGTTAATTACGTACAGTGATCAATTTAAACCAAGTTAATCTCATGTAGAATATTCAGCTTAAGAAGCGCTGTAGATATTCCTGTTAATTAAGAACAGGTTACTCTGTTTCTAAGCAAGTCTCAGTCAGTGAAGGATATTAGGAACTATTGGTACAGATACACAGTAATGTATTGTAAAGCTTGTTTGATGGTGATACAGTGAGATGGACTTAACCCTGGGAAAGTGATCTGCCAATCAGCTAACAACCGGGTTCCTATTTACTGTTAGGTAAATAGAGGTGTGTGGAGTAAGGAAACTTGCCCAACATTTTGCCCTGCCCGCAATTTGAACCCAGGTCCTCTCGTTTGCAAAGCGAGTGCTCTAACCACTGAGCTGCACTTTGTAGTCAAAGTAGACATATGCTTTGTTTGAAAGCATTAACTTATGTAGACTAAAGCAACATCCTTCCCTGGCCTAGTGAAAATGTAATTTTGATTTTAGAATTCTGCCATTAATGTAAATGTTTTGGGATGACTAGCAATATTTCACTGAAATTAATTAAACATTTCTGTAACTATTTTTGAAATTACTTTTGACAGGGAAAGGTGGATGGAATTCACTGAAGAAAACATTTAAATCCCGTTTACCTGGTTATGATCAGCTCCTTTTCATCCCCAATCTACTGGATGAAATGAGAGTCAAGTATCAGTGCTATGAATTTTTCGGTGACCTGGACATCACAGAGTGCTTCATGGAAGGAAATGAGAATGGGGAGCTGCTGCTGGAATTCCTGACAGATGTAAAAGATTTCAGTAAAACTGTTATTATTCTGGAACTCTTCATTTTACAATTGAAAGCATTTAGAGATTATAAAAATGACTTCAAGAATCACATAATTACAGAGAATGTTACAGCATGGAAACGGACCACCCTATTCACATGAGCATCCCCACCTCCTATTCCTATCTCCCTCTCCTAAATCCTAATCTCTGATGGAGAGAAAACCAGAACATTTAGTTTTAATAATACATAAGGCTAAAGCTAAACTTCTGAGTCCAGTAGACGATTTTTTATATTACAGTAATATTTATAGGGAACTTGGATTTAAAGCTTTGCTTGTAACACTGGGAATTTTAATCTTTATACAAATTATGTTTATGTATTATATTTGGACCATGTAATGAAATCTTTGCTGGTCTCCCCAGTTCCAACACGCACAGGATCCAGCTGATCCAAGAACTCCGCTGCCCGCATATTCATCCTTACTAAACTCCGTACCCCATCACACCAGTTCAAGCCAGGTTCCACTGGCTCCCCATCACTGAACAGATTGATTTCAAGATCCTCACACTTGTTTTCAAATCCCTTCATGCCTTGGCACCTCCCTACCTCTCTGACCTGCTTACCCCCCAATCCACAACCCACTGCCTCCACTCGACTGGCTCTGGCCTTCTGCATATCGCTACGGCTCTCCATTAGTGGCTCGCTTTCAGCCAATACGCTCCGAAACTCTGCAACACTTTTCCTGTATCCCTTCGCCTTGCCCCTTCTTCTCCATCTTCAGATTGTGTCTGAAGACCTTCCTGTTCGACTGTGCCTACGGTCACCTCCCCCTCCCCCCGGCTCGGCGTTGTGCTCTGCCACTGCTAAGTGCTCTGGGAAGCTACCCTGCCTGAGGGACATTATATAAATGCAAGTTGTTGTTGTTGTTGAGTAAACAGGGTATCAAGGGGAGGTGGGACTGAAGCATCATTGGTGAGTTTTAACATGAATTGGTGCTTGACCTAGATTTATAATAATAATAATCCTTGCATTTGATATAGTGCTTTTCACGTTGGGAGGACATCCCAAAGCGCTTCACAGAACACACTGTAAAGTGAATTGACTGTATATTTGTGGGCGAACGCGGCAGCCAATTGCGCACAGCAATGTCCCACAAACAGTCGTAGATTGAAAATTAGCAATTTATTATTGTTTTTGATTTTGGAGGGATTATTAGATTTATGATGCATTAAGGGCGGGTTGTTGTATTTCAATTCATTTTGCCCATAATGGAAAATTACTGAACATTTATACTACTGTATCTTTAAATTTTGCTGATGATTGTACTATAATTTTTGTAGGGTTTGTGTTTTCCTAATCTAATGTCCTTGCTTTGTCTGGAAAATATGATATAAAGATGTGTTAATCCTTATGTGAGAAGTAAGACGAAGAAGTGGTCTCAATGTGTGTTAATTAGGTGGCCTTATAGTCCTTATCTTTGTGGTCTTTGTTAGATGAGGAGTAAATCAAGGAAATATATCTGTGAGACAAACTAGATGGTCTTGTATTTAGAGTTGAAGGAAAGATTGTGAAAACTTGCTTATTCAAGCGTATAAGTATTGAACACTAACTAGGCTGAAGTCAGGACAGACCCGGGAAAGCCAGAAGACCAGAAGGTACCAGATACAAAGAAGCCACCGCTATTCAGTTCTCCAAATTAGTAATTTTACCTTTCTGTATCATAAATGCTGCCACATAAAATTATTAACTCTACAATTGTCTTTGTGAGTTTGATTAACTTGGTGTCCAAACATCCACTGAAAATGTGGTCAACACTGATGAATAATAATAATAATCCTTGCATTTGATATAGAGCCTCAGCACATCATTGAGACGTCTCAAATCACTTCACCGGGTACACTGTAATTGGTTTTGACTGTGTAGTTTGTGGGCAAGTGCGCAGCCAGTTTGCTCGCAGCAATGTCCCACAAACAGCCATGGAGTGAGTGACCAACTGGCCAGGAAACTGGGAGAAACTCCTTTCTCTTTTTGAAGAGTGCCGTGGGATCTTTACCGTCCACTTGAACAGGCATTTAGGATCTCAGTTTGATGTTTCATCCGAAGGCTAGCACCTCCAACAATGCAGCACACTCCCAGCACTGCATTGGAGTGTCAGTTTAAACTATTCCAAGTCCCGCTGTGGGGCTTGAACCCATAATGTATAATAATCCTTGCATTTGATATAGTGCTTTTCACGTTGTGACGTCTCAAAGCGCTTCACAGAATAGACTGTAAAGTGAATTGACTGTATATTTGTGGGCGAAACGCGGCAGCCAATTGCGCACAGCAGTGTCCCACAAACAGTCGTGGATTGAAAATGACCAATTTATTATTGTTTTATTTTGGAGGGATTATTATTAGGTGTGTGGAGTAAGGAAACTTGCCCAAGGTTTCGCCCTGATTGGAATTGAACCCAGGTGTCTCACTTGCAAGGCGAGTGCTCTAACCACTGAGCTACAGGACTCCACCTTCTGGCTCAGATGCGAGAGTGCTACCACTGTGCCAGGCTGATATATAATACTAAAATAATAACAGTCCTTGCATTTGGAAAAGAGCCTTTTACTGTTCAGTTGTGTTTTTCTTAATGTTCCTGATCATCCACTTGAAGAAAATACTATAAAATGCTATGGTTGGTTTGTTGAAACGTAATCCAATACCAAAAAATACATCAGTTTCTGCACAAGCAATTTTCAGTTTTTTCTAAAAATACCATAAATAATTAAAATGCAATTTCCTCATACATCCTTCAGCTTTAAGCGGATCACATGCTATGGCAAGGAGTTTGAAATATATATATATTGTGGAACAGAATCATAACTCGTGTCTACCAAAGTAAAATGGGAGAATGGAAAAAAGAAATATTCTAATATAAGTTTGCATTTATTTATTGATCTATATACAGTAGAATCCGCTTCAGCCGGACATAGCGGGTTAGGGAGTTTTGTCCCATTTATCTGGCTACCAGTAACCAAAGTTCTTACCTTTATTCCTTGTATTGGATATAGCACCTTATTACATTTTCGAGACACCTCAAATTGCTTCACAGAATATACTGTAAAGTGAATGGACTATATTTTGTGGGCGAAATACAGCAGCCAATTGTGCACAGCAGTTTCCCACAAACATTTGTGGATTGAATGACCAAATTATTACTTTTGTTTGAAGAGATTATTACCCCCACAAAAGCGATCTGTAAATCGACTAACAACCGGGTTCCTATTTACTGATAGATGAACAGAGGGGTGTGGAGTAATGAAAATTACCTAATGTTTTGACCTGCCCAGAATCAAACTCAGGCCCTCTCGATGTGCGAGGCGAGTGCTCTAACCAATGAGCTACAGGACTCCTTTCTCTTCCCAAACAGCAGATACTCCTCTGCTGAGCGCCTCTTCCCTCCCATAGCCATTCCCATTGGAAGAGAAGGTATCAAACATCTCAGAAGCGCCGCTAATCGGTCCTTACCCCAGGCGCTTGTGAATGGCTGGAGTCTGCTGTCAATTACAATGTGTCTCCTCCTATCTCCAACCTGGAGCTACTCATGGCTGAATGGAGCCACGTGTGACACAGAAGGCTGAGTGAGAACATTCAGCAACAACCAGGCATTTTGCCTGAATTAACCATATTTTTGTCTGAATTAACAGGCATATTTAAAACTGGTAAGAATACAAATGAATCAGGGCCAGGCATTTCATCCCAGTTACCTTCCCTCTGGTACTAAAGCGGATTCTACTGTTTAATTAATAATAATACATAGTATGTTTTGTGATATTTCTTAAACAGGATTTCTTCACATTTAAATAAGAAATTCAAGAGGTTAATTTGGTCTACACTTTGACTTCAGAGTTCTGTGTATCTTTATTGAAAGAACTTATGGAGAAATGAATTCAAAATCAAGGCTGTTTTCCAAATTCTTGATGCTCTACTATGATGAATAAATAGTTAGACCCAAGTGGACTTTCTCCCTAATTGCTTGCAGGTACTCCCACTGTTTTATAAATTTATAGAGTACTACACCCTATGAGGAAGAGAAACAACCAAAGGTAGAGAGAGTTTGATTGTAGGAGACTAATGTTAAACAGGGAATCTACCATTCACAGATAGTTGAGTATTTGCTCTTTCTAACAGCAGGAAAGATGAGATGGAATCTTCGATAAAATCACTGTCCACAGACTGCAATCAGTTTGGGCTCTTCATAAATATTCCCCTAATCAACAAGTATGTCTGTATTTGAAATTCCTATTTAGGTACTCGAAGAAATCCATGCACCCATCCAATTCAGCCATTTCACTGATAGAAACATAAACTTAGTTATTAATAAAATGCTTTGCTCTAACCGCAAATCAATATTTAGATGTATACTGCTGTACTACAGAGTAATCTCGTTTAACAAGGTGTTTTGGAGCTGTATCTCATACAGTATTTAACGGGAAAGGCACTATACGAATTTAATTTGTCGTTGATATTTGATTAAAATACACTCTGAATATATTTGTTTCCAATTTGATTGCTACATGATTTTTTTATTGTTGTACCAGTCATATAGCAGTGTAATTTATAATGGAACTATGAAACAGATTATTCAGATTATGGAGTCCTGTAGCATATTGGTTAGAGCACTCGCAAGCGAGAGTACCTGGGTTCCTAGGTTCAATTCCCAGGCAAAGTAAAACCTTAGGCAATTTTCCTAACTACACATGTCTCTGTTTACCAAGCAGTAAGTAGAAACCCAGTTGTTCGTCGGTTAGCAGGTCTCTTTCTGGGGTTAATAATCCCTTCAAAAAAAAATTATAATTTGGACACTCAATCCACGACTGTTTGCGGGACATTGCTGTGTGCAATTGGCTGCCGTGTTTCGCCCACAAAGTATACAGTCAATTCACTTTACAGTATATTCTGTGAAGTGCTTTGAGATGGCTCAAAGGCATCATGAGGTGCTATATTAAATGCAAGGATTATTATTATAATTCACAAATCTTTGGAAACCAGTGTGTAATCTTATTTTCCATTAATTTATTAGCTTCTTCTACAACCTCATTCTACCTCATTAACCCTAAGTTGAGCCACATAGTTTAAACTTGGAAGTTATCACAAATCATTTCAGCAATGAATGGAAATTCATAT